AAAAGAAGATACGAAAGACCACATATTATATGAATCCATTTATATGAAATGTCCGGAATAAGCAACATATAGAGTAAAAAGTGGTTGCATAGGGCTGGGAAGTGGGGTTGGAAGGAAATGGGAAACGACAACTAATGAATATGGATTTTCTTTTGGGGGATGGTGAAAATGTTCTAAAACTGAATGTGGTGATGGTTGTGTGAAGATGATAAGAACCCAATGAGTTGGGACTTTACTGGTGGCGCAGTGGTTAAGAATTCGCCTGCCAATGCAGGGGACACGGGTTTGAGCCCTGGTCCAGAGGATCCCACATTCCGCAGGGCAAGCCCATGTGCCACAACTACTAAGCCTATGCTCTAGAGCCCAGGAACCACACTACTGAGCCCATGTGCCACAACTACTGAAGCCCATGCACCTAGAGCCCATGCTCTGAAACAAGAGAAGCCACCAAAATGAGAAGTCTGCACACCGCAACGACCCCACTCGCCACAACTAGAGAAAGCCCGTGTGCAGCAACGAAGACCTGACACAACCATAAATAAATAAATAAATTTATTAATTTTTTTAAAAAAAGAACCATTGAGTTGTATGATTTAACTGAGTGAACTGTGTAGTATGTGAATATATTACAATACAATTGTTATTTAAAAAATGGAAAAAGAGGATGTTCAGGCAAAGTGAGTTACTGGCTTTAAGAGGGGAAATCGCTCCCTTGTGATGGAGGAAACACTCACATTTCTCCGCACACTGCTCCGGCCTGTGGGGAGGAGAAGTCAGGGACTTGCCTAGTTTCCAGGGAGAAGCAGAGGCTAAAAGAGGAGAGTGGGTGACTGGGCAGCTGACCTCAGAGCCTCCCCTCTCCACAGATGGACCTGAAACCAGGTTCCAATGGACCAACAAGCTAAGTGGCAAAAAGTAAGCAAACAAATGGTCCAATTCATAGAGAAGTGGAACTGATTAGCTGTGAGATCTTCAGGGGGAAAAGGATCTTCTTATCTTAGAAATGACAATAGAAATCACAGAGGAAATCAGTGGATATAGTCAACTATGTGAAAAGGAAATTAATCAGATGTCAAGGCAAAAATGAAAGGCAAACATGACTAGAGAAAAGATTTGTAACAAATATGACAGGCTAATGTTTTGTCACGTGAAAATCACGCATAAATTGTTAACAGTAAAATTGTATGACCCTAATAGATAAATAGATAAAGGATATGAAAACATAAAAGAGAAAATATAACTGGTAAAAGACCATCTGGGAAAGTGCCCAAAGTTTCTAGTAATAAAAGATACACAATTTTAAAGGGATGTAAATGGGGGAAAAATGCAAATTGGAAGAGATGCAAACTCTAAGGCAAAAAATCTGCTTCCCCATCAAGTCAGTTACATTTTTTTTTAACCTTTTTATTGGGAAAAAATTTAAAACCCACAGAATACTTGAAATAATAGGACAATGAATTCCCATATATGCTTCACCTATATATGCCAATTGTTTTGGAAATGTGTTTTTTTTTAAATAAATTTATTTATTTTATTTATTTTTGGCTGTGTGACGTCTTCGTTGCTGCGCACGGGCTTTCTCTAGTTGTGGCGAATGGGGGCTACTCTTCATTGTGGTGCGCGGGCTTATTGTGGTGGCTTCTCTTGTTGTGGAGCACAGGCTCTAGGTACGCGGGCTTAAGTAGTTGCAGTGCACGGGCTTAGTTGCTCTGCAGCATGTGGGATCTTTCAGGACCAGGGCTTGAACCCGTGTCACCTGCACTGGCAGGCAGATTCTTAACCACTGCGCCCCAGGGAAGCCCTGGAAATGTGTTTTTTAATTGATCGTCCCCAGTACTGGGGAGCTGGGATGAAATGTCAGTGGGAGGGTAAAAATATGAGGAAATCTTCTGAAAAACAATCTGGCCGATGCCCTTGACCCAGTATTTATACCCCTGTGGCATCATACAAAGGAAAAAATTTTAATATAGTAAAAGATTTATGAAAAAAATATGTTTCTTTGCAGCATTGTTTGTCATAACAGGAAGAAATTGACTATTTCCCAAATGCCTGCAGCAAGTAGGATTAGTAAACCGGTAAATCTATTCAGTGGAATATTTTGTAACTAATAAAAAATGTCTATAAGGAAAATACTTAAATAATGTTCAGTGAAAAAAAGGTTATACTTATACAGTGGGATCACTCATATATAAAAGGCCAAACAACAACAAAAAACCTGGGAGGAAAGACATCAAAAAGGTAAGTAGTTATTTCTAGAAAGTGTGACTAGACAAGGTTTCTTTTCCTCCCTCCCCCCTTTTTGTACATTTCTGTATTTTCTGATTTGTCTTTAAAGAGCTATACTTTTATTATGAAGGCTATATCCTTTAGATGTTTTATTCTCTTTACTATTAAAGTAATTCATAGCAGTTATAAAGAACAGTTCATAATATAGAGAAATGTGTAAAGTTGAAAGTAAATGTTTCCTGACCTGATTCTAATCCTCTGAATTTTTCAAAGTTAGTAGATTCATGAGTATCCTTTCATACTTTCTTCTAAACAGAAACGTACTTCCCTAAAAGCAAAAATGGGATTGTAAACACATCCCAGTTCTACACCGCACATGTTTCCACCTCATGGTCTGTGATAGATACGTTGGGGTTTTTTTTGTTTGTTTTTCTTGGCAGAGCTTTGCAGCTTGTGGGATCTTAGTGTTCCCAAACAGGGATGGAACCCGGGCCCTCAGCAGTGAAAGCGCAGAATCCTAACCACTGGACCGCTAGGGAATTCCTGTAGGTACTTTTCCATGACATTTCAATCACCTCATTGTATTCAACAGCTACACAGGATCCTGGAAATGCTTTATCATTCATTTCACCATCCCTCTAGGGTGGGTTAAGCTGTTTCTGCTTGTTTACTACTACAGTGTTGAGGTGAATATTTTTGGATTTGGGGTGTGTGTATATGCATATATGTATCTGAATAATTGTGTGTAAACTATATGTGTTATATATATTTATTTAAAGTCAGGTTAATAATATTATATATTATTATTTTGTGATCCCAAGTTGCTTTATTACTTTAAAAGTTGCTGTGTTTCTAAAGCAAATATGGCAAAATATTAATATCTGTTAAATCTGGATGGTAGATGCATAGATTTCTGTTACAGCCTTTCCTGCAGTTTTCATAGAATTTAAATATTTCAGTATTTAAAAATTAAGAACAATTAAAAGAAGGGATGGAAAATGACGTGTATTCGCTCACTGTGAAAACAGCAAAGGCTCATTAAACAGAAACTAGCCCTGGGAGAGGCCTCAGTTTAATAAGGCCCTGGGAGAGGCCTCAGTTTAATAAGGCCCCGTGATGCCTGGAGATAAGCAAACACTTTTAAATGGGGGTCGGGAGACCACTAACGTGTGCTGAGTAGTCACTCTGGGTTAGGCATTGTCTAAGTGCTTTACATGTATCATTTAACTTTAATAAGAAATGAGGTGGCAAAAAATGAAAGTAAAATAAATTTGATGAGTTGCATATGGTAAAGGCTTGTTAGAATCACAAAATAAAACAAACATACTGGAAAGGCTGAAGTTGGCTAAATAGAAAGAAACAAATTGTAGAAAATTCTCAGGAAGGCCTGAGCCCTTCTATCATGTAGGGAATGTATTACCTTGGACAGACACTTAATTGAATAATGAAATTAAGGCACAGTGATGTGAATTGACTAAAAGCATCAGCTGGATTGCCCAAGCCAGAAGCTTGGCAACATCACTTGTCATTTCCACCTCTCCCATATGCAGGTAATCTAGTCGTGCTGATTTATCTCCTAAGTATTTCTGATCATCTACCCCTTTTCCTCTGGTGCTCATGTCTGAAAATCTTAAAAAGAATCTTTGATGTTTATATTTGAACCAGATAATACATTCACATAGTTCAAAAGTCAAAAGGTATAAAAATGTATATAAGGAGCATCTCCTTCCCGCCCCAGTCCCCACCTATCCATTTCTCCTCCCAAAGGCAAATTCTGTTTCCTGTTTCTTCTACATCCTTCCAGAGATATCTAGGCACAGATAAAAACATATACAGAGATATACTTTTTTTTTTTTTGGCGGTACGTGGGCCTCTCACTGTTGTGGCCTCTCCCGTTGCGGAGCACAGGCTCCAGACGTGCAGGCTCAGCGGCCATGGCTCACGGGCCCAGCCGCTCCGCGGCATGTGGGATCTTCCCGGACCGGGGCACGAACCCGTGTCCCCTGCATCGGCAGGCGGACTGTCAACCACTGCGCTACCAGGGAAGCCCCCCATTCCTTTTTAACAGCTGTATAGTACTCCACTGTATAAATGAGTAATTCATTTAGTTATTTTCTTTTTTAAAAAATCTCACAACAAGGCTGTGCAGTGAATAACATTGAACCCCCTCTTTTACTATATTGTTAGTGTACCTGCAGGATAAACTCCAGAAGGGAATTGCTCGGTCAGAGGGTTTGTGCCTTTGTCTTTTGATAATTTGCCAGATTGCCTCCTAAGCGGTTGTACCAGTTCACATTCCACCAGCAATGTATGTACTCCCCTAGCCTCGCCAATATAGCATGTTATCAAATTTTTCATATCTGTCAATTTGATGGGTGAAAAGGACATTGTATTCAAGTGAATGAGTGAGCCGATGACTAGGCATGTAAAAGGATGAAAACATTCTCCAAAGGGACTCAAACATTCCTATCCTATGAACATGAATCAATGTGAAATGATTGTCAAGCAGAGAAGCCTGGGGTGAGTTGCTCTGAGCAGAGCAAGGCTGCTCTCCTCAGATCACTGGAGGATCCCCCATCTCCACAAGATTGTAAGCTCCGGAAGGGAAGTGACCAGGGCTATCTTGTTCACTGCTGTATCTCCTTGCCCAGACCAGAGCCTGGCACTCAGCAAACATCTGTGGAATGAATGAGTTATCTCAGGACCAGCCAGAGGACAGGCAGAGCAGGGTATGTGGAGAACGCTTAGGGGTGGGGGGTGGGATGCCAGGATACACTGGTCATCGATGCTGTTCAGCGTGAAGCGGGTGTTGGAGAATCGGGCGAAGCCGTCCCGGTACAGCCAGGCTCGCAGCGGCATGTACTGTGGGGGAGGTGGAAATGGAGAGAGAGAAAAGGGAAGGGGAATCAATACCAGCACTTTCACACTCCTAGCTTTTGCACCTGCTGTTTCCTCCGCCTGGCATGCCCTGCCTTCTCTCCCACATCATCCTTCATGAATGTGCTCAAACATCAGCCTCCTTTGATTCGATCCCCCTCCTTCCCTGGAGGTAGAAGTAAGGGTAGGGAGATGCAGAAGGGAAAAAAATTAATGGGTGTCTTCTCTGCTCCACCACCACATGTGACACCCACCAGCTCACGGTGTGTCCATATTCCCCACCAGACTGTAAGCTCCAGGAGGACAGGGGCGGAGCCTGTCTTGGACACACTTATATCCTGTTCTCAGCAGAGAATGTTGCACCATGAAGGTTTAAGTGTTCGTCGAATGCATGGGTGGAGGGAGTATAGCACCTCCTTTGTTAAGAGAGTAGGATGCCTGGATCCAAGTCCCAGCCCTGCCACTCACCATCTGTGTGACCTCAAGCAAGTCACTCAGTCCCTCTGATCTGTTTCCTTATCTGTAAAATGAGGCCAATAAAAGATCCTACCTCCCTGGTTATTAGGAGGACTGAATGAGATAAAACCTGCTAAATATTGGGCCTGGTGCTCAATAAATGCTAGCTGTTGTTACCACGGACGACTGAATGAATAAAGAAGGAAGGCAGAGTGACAATCCAGTTGCCAGGGTCTCTGAGACGGCAAAGCTTGGATCTGTTTACCCACCCCCTGGGCTCTCCCAGGCAGATTAAACCAGACAGCTCACACGGGTGCCCCCAGAATGGCTTCTGCCCCTGTCCCCCAGTCCAACTGTCCCTTCCCCGCCACTGGAGGAAGGCACCTGTACCGGTCACTCACCGACATCACCAGCACGTAGACACGCAGGTCAAACTTGCGGCCTGTCAGGCAAGGAAAGAATTAATCAGTGTAACGAATATTGATTGGTTACCATGCTAGGTTTGGGGGATACAACAGTTGACATGCAGATGTGAATCCCAGTGAGACACAGGAGGTACCGGGTGCCTGCCTAGCCCAGAGGGGGCGGGGCCTTCGCGCAGGAGGAGCTGCCTGGTTAGAGGCCCAGAGGCGACAAAGAGCTTGGTCCAAGGGCAGAGTGGAAGGATATGTCAGTGAGGTCAGCAGAGGCCAGGTCATGTGCAGTTTTTGGATTTTGTTCCACCAACCATGGGAAGCTACTGAAGGGTGTCCCATCCCTCTGGCAACTGTGTTTGGAGTGGAGTGAAGGGGGCCAGAGCAGTGGGCATCAGTGCGGAGGCTGGCGTGTTGCCCTGGAGGGAGAGGACAGTGTCCGGAACTGGGATGGAGGTGGCCAGCAGGTTCAAAAGCTGCATGGGAGCTTGATGAAGAACCGGATGTGGGAGGGAAGAGAGGGATGCTCCCAGAATGGTCTCCACCTTCTGGCTTGGGGGTGCGAGGGCTGTGTCCCTGGCGGGAGGCTGGTGGGTGAGCCAGATGGTGGGGGGAGGACAAGGGCTGGATTTTAGTCCTGTTGGATTCGAGTTGCTGAGAGATGCCTGCGAGGGGATGATACAGGCTGCAGGGTCTGGGGTGCGGGGCAAGGTATCGGCTGCAGACAGAAAGCTGGGAGTCACTGGATCTGGGTGGTGGTTAAAGCCACGAGAGAGGATGGGGTCACTGGGAAAGGGAGGGGTGGAGAAGACGCCACAGACTGACCCGGCGGAAGGACATTGCCTGAGGAAGTGAGAGGAGGTAAGTGATGTTGTCCCCTTCGGAGCACTGGCTCCTCTCAGACCAGACCCTCCCAAGACGCCCCTCCTCACATACTGCCTGACGTGTCTGTACTTCACGGCCCCTGTGTGGGAAAAGCAGAGGTGGAGACGGCCTGGGGAAATCCGAGAAGGTTTCATGCGCCATAGCCTGGTTCCGCCTCAGGCCCTTGGCCCTTACAGCTCCCCGGGCCTCCAAATCTACCCACGGGTGACTCCTAGCTGTCATTCCGGGTTCAGCTCCCGTCACCTCTGCAGAGAGGCCCTCCCTCACTCTGCACTTGATTTACTTCCTAACACTCACCGCTGTGTGGAACTATCTTACTTCTTTGTTTCTGGTTTATTGCTGTCTGCTCATTGGAGTGTAAGCTCCAAGAGAGCAGGGTGGGCAGCCAGCACTCTGGACAATGGTTGGCACTGACTAGGCACTTTGTAAATATTTGTTGGATAAACGCATAAAGGAGCTGGTTCTTGAAGAATGAAGAGGATTTTAGTGAACCAGGAAGGGAGAGGGAAGGGCATGCCAGGCAGGGGGAACCTTAGGGGCAACGGCTGGGAGGTGGGAGCATGCAGGGTGGGATTCTGTCTTTGCATCCCATCATGCCTGGTGTCAGGCTGAGCCCACGTTGGGCTGCTAATCAAGGCTTGTTGACTGACTGACCGACCATTCCATGGAAGGGCAGGAGCAGAGACAGCCATCTTACCTCCTATCAGGTAGGGATTTTCGATGTAATGCTGAGCTACATAGTTCTCCACGGGAATATCATCTTTCTGGTCATCAGAACTTCTTGTGTCCTAGTTGTAATAATAATTGTTATTAACATTTTTTTTTAGCATTTCCTGTATACGAGGCATTGTGATAGGCACTCTACTTGGGGGTATATGATCTGATCCTTAAATCAACCCTGTCGGGAAAGTACTAATGTTATTCCCGTTTTACAGATGAGAAACTGAAGCACAGTGAAGGGGAGTGACTTGCCCATGGTAACACAGCCAACTGGTGGTACAGCTGGGAAGTGGACCCACACAGGCTGGGCCCAGAGCCTGGGTATTTAACCTCTAGATCTGTGCTTCCCAGTAGGGCAGCTGCTGGCCACATGTGGCTATGTACATTTATATTTAAATTGATTAAAAGGAAATGATGTTACATGCTACAATATGGAGGAACCTTAAAGGCTTCATGCTAAGTGAAATAAGCCAGACATAAAGGGACAAATATTGTATAATTGCACTTATATGAGGTACCTAGAGTAGCGGAATTCACAGAGACAGAAAGTAGAAGGGTGGTTGCCAGGGGCTGGGGGCAGGGGGGCAGGACGGGATTAGTGTTTAATGGCTACAAGTTTCAGCTGGAGAAGATGAAAAAGTTCTAGAAATGGATGGTGGTGACTGTTGCGCAAAACTATGAATGTACTTAATGCCATTGAATTGTACACAAATAGAGTTAAACTGGTAAATTTTATGTATATTTTACCACAATAAAAGAGGAAATAAATTAAAAATCCAGTCCTTCAGTCGCACTAGCCTCATTTCCAGTGTTCAGTATATCAACATGTCGCTAGTGGTCAGGGCATTGGAGAGCACAGGTGTGCACCATTCCCACCACTGTAGAAAGTTCCATTGGTCAGTGCTGCCTGGAGTACCACCCAGGCCTCCAAGGACATTCCTCTCCCTTCTCTACCTGCTAATTCTTTGCAGGCCAGCCCAGCTCAGGAGGATAGCATGCTCCTTTTCACCTCACCATCTGCAACGCCCTTTCCCACCCACTGTCCCCTTCACAGTAACCTTGTGAGAAAACCGAGGCCCAAAGGCAAATGTCACACACCTGGTAAGGTCACACAACAGCCAGTGGCAGTGAGCGCTGGAACTCAGGGGTTCTGGGCCCAAGGGCCAGAATTTTCTACACCTACCATCACCCCCACCCCCAAGCTGCTTCAGTATCGAGGCAGCCAGGTCTTCTCTTTCTGGGACCCAGGGCTACCCCCACCTATACTCGTGTGGCTGCCAGAGGGGTTGACAGCGCTTGGAGCCGGCTGAGCCTCCAAGCTGGTGAGCTTCTTCGTGGCGGTGTCCCGACAGTTTCATGGGAGGAATCAGGACACACGGTGGGGAGGAAAAATTCATTTATTGAGCACCTGCTGTGAGCCTGCTGACACGGTAGGTGCCCGTTGTGGAGTTCTGTCATCCTGCCCCTCACACCCACCCTGCACATTATCATCCCTAAGGGGTTCAGCAGTTTCCCCAGGACCACACAGCTGCTGAGGCAGGATTGGGACCAGGATTTCTGCTGTGACAAGGACGGGGTTGGGGGAGGGAGGGACCTGCCTCAGGCTCAGTCCAGGACCTGGAGGAAGAGTTAGCCAAACTCTCCGCAACCAAGTGAGCAGGAGGCCCAGGAAAAGGATGCACCGTCCTCTTAGGCATATTAACTCACTGATTCACAAGGGCACAGAGAGGTGAAATGACTTGCCCAAGGTCACACAGCTATTAAGTGACAAGGTGAGGATTTGAACCCAGGCAATTTGGCTCCAGAGACCCTGCACCCATAGGCAGGCCTGTGGGCAGAGCTTCTTGGCCAGCCCTCCAAGCTTTGAGGGCAAGGAGGAGGGGCCCCTCATCCATGCAAGGGCAAAGGAAGGATGGGGAGGAAGGGGGAGGGGCAAGCTCACCTTCTTCCAGTCCATGATGTCCTTCAGCCTCCGGAAGAGGAAGATGCCCTTCCCCTGCGACCGGGCTACCTGGGTTGGGGGTGAGGGCAGAAAGGTTGGCTCTCAGCTCTGTGTAGTTCCCTGTTGGCCCGTGGGCTTGGGGGCCTGGGGCCCCTCCCCAGGGGCCCCTCCCCAGCATTTTTCTGTTTCCATCTTCCCCGAGGGCCCCCCAGCTGTCCCTGAGGAATGGCCCAGCCCAGCCTTGAAGGGGTTGGGACAGAGAAGGTGCTAAGCATGGTGGGAGGGAGAGAGGGAAGTGGGAAGGAAAGTGAGAGACGACTGAGCTCACAAAGGCACACAATTGCATGAATAATACAAAGGAGCAGACAATTAAAAAGCCATTTCTAACAGTCCTGGGGACACATCATCCACTTCTTTTTTTGGAAATCAATTTGCCTTCCTAATTAGATTTTGCTTCAGCTAATACTGCAATCAGCCTGCCTTTATTGAATCCCAGCATGGATAATTCAAAGCTTCACAGAGTCTAGGGGTTGGGAGAATCTTTCATACCATGCAGGGCAGCAGGCACCAAAGGCATTGCTCCCTCTGTGACATCCCTCCACAATGGTCACCTGCCTGACCTTTCACATTCACAGTGCCAGGGAGCTCACTACCTTCCCCCACCCCTTGACAGCGCATTCCACGGCAGGATAGCTCTATTAAGCAGTCATTTCATCCAGAAGGTACATATTAGGTGCCTACTGTGTGCTTGGCTTTATGCCACAGCAGTAACCCAGACCTCATGGAACTTTCACAGCCTAACCTGTGTTGAGTTAAAATTCGCCTGCCTGGTTCTGGCCTCTAGGCCTCCTACAACAAATCTGGTTCCTGGGCCCTAGAACAGCCCTTTGGTTATTTGCAGCCACTGAGCAAGTGCCCCGGAGCCATTTTTTTCTCCAGCATAAATGCACCCAGCCTGAGCAAACTCTCATTTCGTTCTCATCTCCTCTGAGCATGGCCCAGCTGGTCAAAGCAAGGCTCTTGGTACAATGTGAGGCGGGCAGGGCCATCAGGCATGGCCGCGGGTTGTTGCAAGAAGGGCTCCCAGCGGTGGGGGCAGTGGGAGCTAAAAACCCAGCCCTGCTCTGCCTGCCATGCTGTGCACCCTGGTTCAGGGTTGTGTGTGCCCAGGAGATGGGGTGCCCAAAATACTGGAGCACTGGCAGTGGCGCAGGGGCAGCCACACGTGCACATATTTTTTGGAAAACAATTACTCAGTGTGCATCCAGGGCTTCCAACGGTTCACAGCTGTGCAAAGACTTGACTGGGCACTTCGCGAGAGATGACACAGAGTAAGCAATGGAAAGGCACTGACCCATAGTCTTCAGGGAAACGCAAATGAAAACCCCAATATGATAGCACTACACACTCCCCAGGAATGGTAAAAGTAAAGGCAGACACTACCAAGTGCTGGTGAGGATGTGGAGAAACTGGAACGCTCACACACTGCATTGTTGGGAAACTGTTGGGCAGCCTCCACTAAAACTGAAGGCAGGCACCCCTGTGACCCAGCGATTCCTCTCCTAGGTAACTCCGTGACAGAAACATGTGCACGTGGGCAGCCATGGACATGCACGGCAATGTCCAAGCAGCACAATTCATAATAACTCCAACCTTGAAACTCTCAAATGAATAGATATTCTCTCAATGGAATCGTATACAACAATGCTTAACAATTTACAGTTACCCACATCAGTATGGATGAATCGCACGGACATAATGTTGAAGGAGAGAAACCAGACACAATGTAGCTGTACTGCATGATTCCAATTATTTAAAGTCCCAAAACAGACAAAAGGAACCTATGCCGTCAGTGACTGGTGGTGGTGGGTGAAAAGGGGTCTGGGGGAGCTGCTGAGGGGCTGGCAATGCTCTGTGTATAATCTGGGTACTAGTGTTCACCTTGTGAAAATTCATCAAGCTATATCCTTAATAATTTGGGCACTTTCTGTTTTATTAAATTTCAAATAAAAATTTTTTTTTAACATTTCATACCTTTTGATCTAGTAACCGCCACCCCCTGTTGGTTGACTTCCCTAAAGCCACTCCTCTTCCTCTTCTTCCTGGCTGACAAAGCCCACCTCTCAGGATGGAGGCTAGAAAGACCAGATACTTGTTTTCCCAGCATCCCTTGCAGCTAATGGAAACCATGTGACCCGTTTTGGCCAAAGAGACCTAAGGAGATATCTGCTTGGGGCTTTGAGGAAAGAATCTCATCCTTGTTAAAAATATTAGGGTTGGGGAGAGATTGGCAGTGGGAGAGAGAGAGAGAGAGAGAGAGAGAGAAAGTGCCTGCCCCTTGTTTGAATGCTACATCTGAGGAGGTGATACCTGCAACTACAACAGCCATCTCACATCCATAAGGTGACAAGTTTGATGACAGAAACCCAACACACTGAGGAGGCAGAGTGGACAAAGAGAAGAAGCCCGGGCTTTTAAAGGCACCTTTGAGCACATCCCTAAACCTGGAACTGCCTACCTCCAGCTTTCTTGTTATATAAGATAATGAAAAGCCTTTATTGTTTAAAGCCTTGTTAGTCACTGACATGCCTATTCCAGGAGATGTCCTCCTAAGGGAATAATCCTAAAGAGTGGAAAATAAACTTCCTGCATGGTGATATATCAGGGTTGTTGAGACTGGAAATCACCTAATATCTAGTCCCACCAGACTGTCGTTTCCAAAAGCAATCAGAACGATATTCCCAGTCCCACATGTCTTCCACAACCTTGCTACCCACCACCTTCCAACAAGAGGAAAGTCAATGTCCGTCCCCCTTGAATCTGCGTGAGCCTTCAGGACTGTCTCAACTAATTGTGTACAGCAGAAGTGATGCTGTGGGAATTCCAGTGCTGGGTCATAAAAGGCAACACAGCTTCCACACAGCTTTCTCTTTGGAGATGGTCACCCTTGGAACCCAGCCACCATGCTGTGAGGAAGCTCAGGTCACGTGGAGAAGCCCACACTGGGGGCAACTGAGTCTTCCAGCCCCCAACCCTGGCTGAACTCCCAGCCAGCAGCCAGCAGCCAGCAGCCAGCACCAACTTGCTAGCGGAGCGAGTGAGTCAGCTTGGCAGTGAATCCTCCAGCCCTCAGTAAATCCGCCCAGGTAGATGCTGGAGCAGCCCTGAGCCTTCCCTGTCAAGTGCTGCCCAAGCCGGAGGCTCATGAGCTAAATAAGAGATGATTGTTGTTTCAAGCCACGGAGTCTTGGGACGCAGAAACAGAAACAACTTTAGGGGAATAGTTCCTAAACAGTGGTAATATTAGAAGCTAATACTTCTCGACAATGAACCAGGCACAAGGATTTTATACACATTTCCTCATTAAAGCTTTATTTTTTTCATCTTGCATTTTCTATTTACTTTTTTTTTTTTTTTTTTTTTTTGCGGTACGCGGGGCCTCTCACTGTTGTGGCCTTTCCCGTTGTGGAGCACAGGCTCCGGACACGCAGGCTCAGCGGCCATTGCTCACGGGCCCAGCCGCTCCGCGGCATGTGGGATCCTCCCGGACCGGGGCGCGAACCCGCGTCCCCTGCATCGGCAGGCGGACTCTCAACCACTGCGCCACCAAGGAAGCCCTCTATTTACTATTTTACATTAAAATTTTCTGACATATCAAAAGCAAATACACAAATTCAAAATTATCAAACTTTCATTTGAAAACAAATCCCAGATGTCATGTTATTTCACCCTTACAGACTTCAGTGTGCATCTTGTTTTCAAAAAATTGACACTCTGCTATATAACCATAATACCATCATCATACAAGACATAATTAATAATGATGTCTTAGCTCCTGATTCTGCAGTCCATAATCAAATTCCCCTGATTATCTCAAAAATGTCCTTTTATGATAGGTTTAAGTCCAGACCTAAACAGCTCCCTACATTGCATTTGGTTGTTATGACACCTAAGTCTCTTTTAATTGAGGACAGTCCTCCCTCCTTTCCCCCTGCCATTGACTAGGTGTACAAACCAATTGTCCTGTGCACTGTTCCATATTCTGGGTTGGTCTGTTTCCTTGTAGCACCATTTAAAGTATTCCTCTTTTCTTTGTATTTCCTATAAATGAAACTTAGCTCTAGAGGTTTGGTTACATTCAGGTTCCACTTTTTGGCAAGAATACACAGCTGGTGCTATTCCATCACAATTGTCTGTTTGCTCCACATCTAGAGATGCTAAGATTGACCAGCTTGCGCCTTTTTCAACTTCACATTCTATCCTGAGCATCTCTCCATTTCAGCTCATATAGAATGTCCTCGTTCTTTATTACGGCTACATAGATCCCATTGGGTGAAAACACTGGGTGAAAATAACAAAGTGATCATTCCCTTGAAAAGAATACTTCATCTCAATTTATTTGTAAAGATGATCATAAAAGACCCATCAAGGTCTATGATTCTTTAATTATGTGCAACAGAAGTTTGCTTTTTAAAAGGAGCCCTTGAATGTATTTTTGGTAAAGAAGTCTGTTGTATTGTAATTAATTAGTTTCTAAATTCTGTCTAGAAAGTCATATCATGAATTTTCTTAAAGGGCAGTTGAGTGTTGGCTATAATTATGTGGAGGGATAACTACAAGAAAACTACTGCATATGATACTACTATAGAAATTGTTTTGCTTTTCTCCCTTTGTCAACAGGAAAAGGGACAGAAAATCTCAGACTCCTTAAAGATAGCCTCCAAACACCAAATGGAAACACTGGAATTATGTGTAATTAGAATTACACATTTATAGATAACTAAGGGGCCACTTGACAAAACTCATAAAATGGAAGTGAGAGAATTTTACTCAGGAGACAGGAAAACATAGGCGATACAGATGGGATCACTGGAAAAACTCAGTCCAAATAGAATCTACACTATAGAATGGGGGAGCCGCAGTGGAATGGATACTGGGGAGACAGTAACGCCCACTAAAGCTGGAATCCTATATGTACTTAATTTGAATAAAAAATCCTCTCTTATTTAAATCACAGCATCTCAGTTAGGTTCCATGTACCATTAGTCCCAAAATTTTGCAAAGGTAGA